GGGCGCCGTAAGGGGATGAAAAGTCAGGACGATTCTAAGGGCCCGTGACTGACAGGGGCCCAAACAATTGTAGAACATTAAGAAAACATTTTTTAATTATGTAACCAATGTGATATCTTTTCATGGGGCCCAAAATCTCTGGCGGCGCCCCTGCACGCGCACACACACACACACACACACACACACACACACACACACACACACACACACACACACACACACACACACAGGTTACAGACGTTAGCGTGGACGAGCCTTTATGCAGACGATACACACATTTATCTCACAGTGGTTCTTTAGTTATTTGTTGATGAGTGTGAGGTGGAGGAAGATGGAGGAGGATGAAGATGTACCGGTGGTGACGAAGCTGTACCCCCTCTCTGTGAGGATCTTCATGAGGTAGTCAGTGAGGTCCCTCCCGGCCAGGTCCAGCCTCATGATGGCGTGCGGCAGAGCGTAGCCTTCGTAGATCGGGACGTTGTGAGTGACGCCGTCTCCGGAGTCCAGCACGATGCCTGTCAATCAAACTTTATTAACACTGAACAGAACAAACATTACAGGAGAAGAAGAATCACTGTGTTTAACGCTTAAAGGAAGTCTGTGTTACCAGCTTGGGGCTTTTATTTTGAAACTCAAGCATTGTCCAGGCTCAGGTAAACTGATATTAAAAGTTATTAAAAGAAGCAGAATCACAATAGTCTTAAAGTCTGAGTCCCATGTTTAAAGGGTTTCTTGGGTCGACGGAAAAACAACAAATAAAGTTATAAAGTTTTGAATTCTGTCAAAGCCTTATTTTATTTTTTAAAAAGGACTGGATTTTCAAAACATAAGCCTCAAGACGTTAATATGTACAAATGTAAATCTTGCACCTATTTTAATTTAATTTCTACTTCCTCCATCCTTTAATGTACAGAGTGTGGTCCAACCTGTGGTTCTCCCCGAGGCGTACAGAGAGAGGACGGCCTGGATCGCCACGTACATGGCGGGAACGTTAAAGGTCTCGAACATGATCTGAAATTATACAAAATACAAAGAAAAACATTTAAATACTATTAATAATCACAAATATTAACACATAAATAAAGTTTGTTTAAAGATCATAAATAAATAATAATTTCAGTGAAAGCATTTAGTCACTGGTTATATGTAGTACTGTGTATTAAAGTATATTATAGAAGTATTATCAGTAGTACTATTATACCTGCATCATCTTAGCCTTCTGTCATTGTGTGATATGTAGGAGAAGGTGTTTGTACTGCAGTATAATCAGTAGTAGTATCAGTAGTAGTAGTAGTATCAGTAGTAGTAGTAGTAGTAGTAGTAGTAGTAGTACCTGGGTCATCTTCTCCCTGTTGGCTTTG